AAAAAAAGCTCAAGAATCACCTTGACCCTACTTTTACCATGAATTTTGGTAGAGCCTTTACTTCCTCCAGACTGAAATTATATTCCTCACCCCAAGTTAAGCTCTGAAATATGTTCAGGAAAGGACTCCAAATCACTCAACTGCTACCACTTTGAGGCAGCTCAAAGCAAGGCCATTCAGTTATGCACATTCAGTAACACGCTTCGAGAAGCGGGACCCCGAGACTGCTGTAAAGGAGAAAGTAGCTGAACGGGAATGTTAAGGAGCCACCTTCATTCAAAAGTATTGTTGATTACTTTCTGTGTAACAGGTAATATTCTCAAGATGTAGCTGTGGACAAAAATTCCAGCTTACTGAAATTGAGCCAGTATTACCTGGACTAAAATCAACAATAACCACCATTAACTTAGCACACACTTTGTCCCAGGCTCTATGCTTTAGGTACTTTATAGGTGTTATTTCCTTGAATCATGGTAAGATATTCACCTTCGGATAGGATGCAATATTTGTGTTTTTGACAGCTGTTTTCACAAACCATAACATTTCCATTTTAAAATGTACAGCTTAGTGACTTTTAATATATTCTCAATGCTGTGTAACATCTTTGTTCCCTAATTTCAGTTCCCTATTTTTCACTCCCTACTCATTAGCAGTCATTCACCTTTGCCCTTCCTCCAGCATGCACCTCCCTCTAAAACTACTAATTTACTTTCTACCTTTATTTGTCTATTGTGAGCATTTCTTATGAATAGAATCATATAATACATAGTCTTTTGTTTCTGGATTCCTTCACTTAGCATAATATCTTCAAAGTTCATACATACCAGCCCATGTTGGGCTAGTATTAGTAGCTCATTCCTTTTTATTGCTGAATAATAGTCCAAAAATATGGCTATGCCACACTTTTTGTTTATAGATAACATTAGTTAATGCACATTGGGTTGTTTTTACTGTTTTTTCCTTAATGTTACTTGGGATCAAATGAAGGGCCTCATGATGTGGGGTAAAAATGCTACCACTAAAAAAAAAAAAAATGCTACCACTAAGCTACACTCTGAGCCCTTCTACTTTTTGGCTATAATGAATAATGCTCCAGTGAATGTCCATGTACAGGCTTTAATGTGAATACAATACCTGTGTGATACTCACATTCCAAGGTAAACAATCACTAGCACAGAGGACACAGAGAATTACTGACAAGTTTTGTGCTGTCCTACACTGCAATGGTCAGGCCAGTCCTGTTCTTAGTCCCATCCACTCCAGTTCAAGGGGAACACACATGTGAGGTGAGCGACTAAGGTGCACTCTACACTGTTTTCTGGAACTCCAGATCTTACATTGACTATATTGGTTTATTTGTTACTTCACTTTCTGCCTTGACCAACTAGAACAGCTCAATGTGGAAAGAATGAAGTATTTTTTTTAATGCCATGTCCTCTGTGCTTAGAATCCACCCTGGCAAGTTTTAGATATCCATAAAAATTTGATGCATGAATGAATAAATGAACAACCCTGAAGATTATTATTATTATTATTTTTTATCCTGACAAAAATCAATCTGATCTTCCTGGACAGTTATTAAAGAGCCATTATCCAAAGATCAAATATGGTCCAACTTTGCCAGATAGCAACCTTTTCAGAGGAGATATGAACCGAGTAAAGTGTGACAGGCGGATGGTTAGGTGTTTTGTTTTGTTTTGTTTTGTTTTTTGGCCTCTTAGTTGTTGTTGCTTTCCCCCCTCGTTCCCAGTGCTGGGGATCAAACCCATACTAGACAAGGGCTGTATCACTGAGTTACATACAACTCCCGCCAGCAGTCCTGTCTTAATTCTTCGGCATTTCAAAACACAAAGAGAGATTGAGCAAGTCAAGTAAAGCAAAGGAGGAAAAGGGAATGCCATGAGTCCCTGGAACTTCAAGCAGTGACAAATGAAAAGCACATCAGTAAGAGATGGGGTTAAATAAGGTGGGATACAGAATGTGGACTCTGAAGGACTTTAAGGCAGTTAGCTCAGTTGTAAAGTTCCCCTGGGTTCAATACCAGCACCACTACTCAGCTACCCAAAAAATAAATAAATAACAGAAGACTAGTGATTAAAGACACACCTACACACCTAGAAACACTTTCTTCAGAAAGGGAGACTATCAGATTTTAAGCCAGCAATAGTGTGTGTGTGTGTGTGTGTGTGTGTGTACATATTCATGTGTGTAGTTTCATCCAATATTAAATATTAGAAAAATCAATGTTCCATCCATTTTACAAAATAAATTTTGCAGCAATGCACCTTAGTAACATCTTCTGTATAACCACTACAAAGATACAAATAGATGTAATCTCCTTGAAAAATAAATTTAATTTTTAACTGGATTTTAAATTTTTAACTGGATCAGGTAATACACAAATTTTCAACATTTGAGACTACCTATACAACTGTACATTTAATAAGAACAAGACTAAAATCTTAAGATAACATAGAACGTAAGATAGTCCATCAAGTTGGTGTCTCTCCAGAATTCACACCTCCAAGATTATTTTATTAGCTTTAATTTCTTCATGTTAAAGTTATACGCTTTCATTTTAACAGGCTATAATAAATCGCTGTGTCTGTAACAGGGTATAATAAAACACTGTCACCAGACATGGTGGCACATGCCTGTAATCCCGGTGGCTTGGGAGGCTGAGGCGGGAGGTTTGCAAATTCAAAGCCAGCCTCAGCAACTTAGCCAGGCTGTGGGCAACCTAGTGGGACCCTGTCTCAAAATAAAAAATAAAAAATGGCCGGGGATATGGCTCAGTGGTTAAATGCCCTTGGGTTCAATCTCCAGTAGCAAAAAAAGAAAAAAAAGAAAAAAATTAAAAATAAAATACTGTCACCTGTTGAACGGTAGGATCCTGGATGCACACTTATTAAAATTATTCTAAGAATGGTTAAAGAGAAAACACCTCTTTCTAAATAACTGAAAGAGCAAAAAGTAGGTGGCATTTCTTTAGGAAAAGCATAAGAATTATCATGTGCCCGCACGTACACACTTAGGTGGCATGAAATTCATGGCTGTAGGCCATTCCTTCCACTTCCATTAAACTCCCCAGAGGACCAAATAGACACCAAATAACTTCCAAACAGAAATACAGAAGGATCCAAAATTCAAGGCTGGTTACTGTCATGAAATCGGTGTCCACTGTTCATATATGGTAAACGACACAACTAAAGAATATGGGGTATGGTTAGTTTTATGGTTTAAATACTCTCTGAATCTGCCTAAATACTCATTCAGGTGGTACCTGTTAAGTTATCAGGCCCTATACCAATGTAGTATAAGGTCTGTCCCAAAGCTTCGAGCTAAAACATTGGAACTGCCAACCCACTAAAATCTCTCAATAGCAAAACTTGATGGAATTTTACTGTGTTAAGTAGGAAAAAAAAAAACAGTACTTATCACAATTAAGTTGCAGAGAGGCTCTACATTGCCAGTCAAGTTTCATGTAAATACCTTATGATACAGAAATAGGTTATTATTAGTCACAAACTAAATGAAGGCATGACCACTGAAGCATTACGTCCCTACAATATTAGTCCACAGTTACATAAGGCCACCCAGGCTCCCTCAGTCTCTTGACCCTGATCACTCAAAAGATTTGTTTTACTAAAGGTAGGGATCAAAACCTCAAACAAGTCCATAGTAATCAGGCAAAATACATTAACTAGAATAGAAGCCTCTTGGGATCAAATGTTATTAACATTTAAGCGAGGTTTTAAAATTTTGTTTGAATATTTATCTGACTTATCTCTCCCTTTATATTTTTCAATAACTAACCCAGAAATTACCAGCACAAAGACAACCGTGATGAGTGTTTTGTGGCATAAAAAAGCAAGGAATATCACAAGCCACAATCAGCTTGCAATCATCTCGCCAGCACCCCCTGGGAGCTCCCATGTTACTCCAGACCACTGTCTTCCTTCCAAGTTGCTGCCACTCAAAACCACAGGCAAAACTCCTCCGAACACATCCATGTCCAAACAGTTCTGTACAACCACTGTGTGCCAGGCACCATGCAAGGCACTGCAGGTGTAAATGAGAGCATCCTCAAGAAACTCACCAAGGAGCCAAATA